GCAAAATCTCTACTACAACTGAAACTACCGAATATATGCATAAAATTGCGGAATACTGTATTGTGGATGCTAAATCTTCTCAGCGACTTATGGTCGAGAAAAATATGATAAATGACTATAGGGGTGTTGCATCTATTGCTTATATATCTTTATTTGATTCACATTATTATGCTATAGGTATGAAGGTACGTAATCTCTTGGGTGCCGAAGCATGGAAGCGAGATATTCTAGTTACCATGATAACGAAAAAAACTGAAAAAGGATCATTCCCAGGAGCTTATGTGTACCCTCCAGATAAAGGCCTTGAAGGTAAACGTCCAATTATGGGTTTGGATTTTGCATCTTTGTATCCGAGTCTTATTATGACTTATAATTTATCACCAGAAAAGATAGTATATACATTAACTGAAGCAAATGCACTAAAGAAAGAAAACAAAGTACTTCATACAATTGAGTTTGGTGGAACCATTCATGCATGGAGCATATGACATGAAAACAAATCCAACCAAAAGGCTTATATCCATCTCTATTAGAATATTTACTTAATAAGCGAAATGAGATGAAGACCCAATTGAAACCCCTTGGAAAGAAAATAGAGCATATGGGACTTGTGAAAAGTAGAATAAATTCTGAAGTTAGTTCGATAGTAACTGTAGAAACCATTAAAGGTATTCTGGAGGATATAAAAGATGAAAAGAAACGCCTAGATGTGGCCAAAACCCTAAATAATTTTATTGGAACACCTTATAAGAATTTTATAGAAGAATATGATTCGATTTATTTTGACTACAGCTACTTAGATTCAAAGCAGAAAGCATTAAAAGTGTATATGAATTCATTTTATGGTGAAACAGGTAACAGTCTCTCACCTTTTTATATACGCCAGCTTGCTGGTGGCGTTACATCAGCGGGGCAGTATAATATTAAGCTTGTTGCAGAATACGTGAAAAAGAAAGGTTTTGAAATTAAGTATGGTGATACAGACTTTTTGTATCTTAAATCCCCAAATAATTATTATAAAGAATGTGATCTCGCTTATAATAATGGCAAAGGTACAATCTCAAAGTTAGAGTATTGGACGGAAATGGTTGAAATTACTATGAAGGTAATGGAAAGACTATGTAATGAGGTAAATTCATTTCTTAGATTAAAAAGCAGATCGGTTTACCTAAAAATGGCATATGAGGAGGTATTATTTCCCGTCTGTTTTACTGGTAAGAAGAAGTATTTTGGTATAGCACACAAGGAAGCTGTGAACTTCAAACCAGATGAACTTTTCATCAAAGGGATTGATACCATAAAACAAGGTAAGTCCCAACTTTTTAGAACTATAGGAGATCGAATCATGTGGGGAGTTATGGATATCAATAATGTACATTCACTCCATCAGATTGTTGAAGATGTTCTTAAAGAGGCCGTATCCAATCCTAAGCAATGGGATTTCAAGCAGTTTATAGAGACAGCTGTGTAGAAACCTGATAAAAATAATATACGTGTTCAACGCTTTATAAAACGGATGAGAAAAGAATACGAAAATAAGATTCCGGATCCAGGAGAACGCTTTAGTTATGTAATGATCCATCCAGATTCACTCTTTGGTTTATCTGGTAAAAAGCTTACACTGAAAAAGAGTGATCAAATGGAATTTGTGGATGTTGCAAAAGAATTAAATAAGGAATTGGATCTATCTCATTACTTTGAAAATACTATTACTGCACTTTGTGCCCGATTCATAATGTATGATAAAAGATATGAACCACCATCTACCAACAAGATTATGCAAATTTCTGACTTGAATGAGAAGTATAAACAGATTGATATCTATGCCCAAAATAAGGCCAAGAAGTGGCTTGAGTCGTATATTAAGGAGATAAATGTGAAAAACGGAATCGATTCTAAAAAGATATCTAATCGTGGATATGCCTACAAATGTGCTTATAAGAAAGCGCGAGATATATTATATCAGAAAATGGGTAATACATACGAAATATATCATGGAGATTGGTTAAGCTTTGAAGACTTTAAGGTAGGTGACCCTGTTTCAAGATTATGGGGGAGATTCATAGAGTATACTAAAGCATATACTGGAAATAATAATCTCTCAGTAAGTACTGAGGTAAGAAAATCTATATGCTCCGATTTTACGAAACATCTAAATGCACTTATCCCAATTATCAAAAAATATGATGCCTCTTTTCATCAATTAGTATACCACATGCGATATAAAGAACACGTATCAAACCCAGATAAAATTGGCCCACCTGAAACTATGAGAAAAAATGAGATAGTTATCGAGCAACCTATTATATCCAATATAACGAAAGCTGATCAACTGGTACTCGACAGTTTTCTAAATATATGGTATAAGGCAGTCAGTTCAATATAAATATATCTTTATATTAGTGATACTTATACAATATTAATAATATTTTTTCGTACATAAATAATACTCAAGTTCAAATATAATGTGTTAATAATTATCTCCATAATTTCTCGACGCCTGAAGCGTATCATGGCATCTCCTACAAACTATCCAAGGATATTCGAGATTTAAAGATGCTGATTGATTATAGTTTTTCTTTCTATGAGCATTTACCTGATAAGTTGGATATCGTTTCATTAAATCTCCAATTCTTTCATTTTCATTCTTTGCCACATAGGCTTTATAGATACCATCTACAATAACTTTTATTGCATTTATGTCATGTATATTAGAAGGTTCTGGTTCAAGAGTGATGATATCCGATTTCTTAAATTTATGACCACCGCGAAATCTCTAACAATGCAATCTGCATATAATGGTGATGATACTTCTTTACAACTGCAACAAATATTAGGCATGGTTAAAAAGGTATTATATTTTCGTACATAAAAAATATCAAAGTTTAAATAAATAGTTCCTAATATCTCGTCCACGTATCCCATAACCGATCACTTTTCCTCTCCAATCCCCATGTACGTCTCACGAACCACATAACTGCGATAATCAACAAAATAAGAAAAATATATGCTGATAGCGGTGACATCAAAGTGCTTGCCACAGCAGGAAGAGGCAAAGCCTCGGGACCAGGCCTCATCTGAGAATTCGATTCAATTAAAGCGGACATATTATCCTCACTAATTTCGCTAATGCTAGTTTCATTACTTACCTTGGAGTTGGCCTCGGTATCATTTTTTGATAGTTCGGTAATCTCATCATTAGTATATGTCAATATATTACCATCGGTTTTTTCAGTTTGATCCATATTTTTTCCACGTATAAAATATTTACTGAGATCAGTACTACCCAAAGATATATTATCAGGCTTAGTAATATTTTTTTTGTTATCTCCACCAACTATGGGTTTCGATATAGTCTCTGATTTCAGACACTCAAGCTCATTGATCTTTGATGAGACATAGTCTTGAGGCTTCGCCTCTTCCAATTCGCTCTTTATATTTTCTAATTCAGCTATTTTTGATTTGAGGAATGCGATCTTAGTTTCTTTTTTCAATGAGTTGCTTTGAATCAAAATCACATTTTTCTGGGCCGAAGATAACTTACCTTCCAATATCTTGATCATAGACTCGAGTGATTTGATTTTCTTGGATTTTATATTATTCTCAGCTTTGGACTTCACAAGAAAAATATCTTTATTAGTGTTTTCAATCTGTAAACGCTTAGCTTCATAAATGAGTTCGAGATCATGAGTGCATAATTTCTGGATCTCGGTATTAACCCCTCCTAGTTTTTTACTCTACCTCTTTCTATCCCAATTCCATCGTCCTCTCTCCCGATTGATTTTTTTTCTTCTTGTTTTTCATACTTATCCTGCAATTTGGCATTGTATAAAACTATTTCAAAAGAATCTTGGAGGGCATTATATAATTCTTTTTTAAGGTTTATTATATTGGCTATATTAAATAAAGAGAAATATTATAAAAAAATAGCAAAATATGAAATACATATATACTTATCGATAATGCTATCAAAGAAATTACGCTCCAATATAATTCAACAATAATAGATAATTACTGATTTTTTAGAAAATTATTGAATATTAAGTATGTAATTATCTATGATTACCGATCATTTTTTAACATAAGAGTATTTTCAATAATTTTTGATAATTTTTTATAATTATAAAAAGGATGGAACACATAACTGTAGAGTATTATCGTGCTAGTACTCCTTATTTATCACCAGAAGCTATTGAGGAAATCATTCAATCTCGAAGGACAGTTAAAAATGCATGCAGAGAAATGGCTAATAGATATAGTACTTCAACTCGTAGAATATATGAAATTTGGAAAAGACATGCTGAAGGCATACCCTT